TGCAGCCTCCTTGCCAGCAGGTGGAGCTGTCTGTTAGTTTTGTTGCCCCAGCGGTGTTGGGGGGGGAACTCTGAGAGGGAATTCCCCAGCTTGTTGAGACTGGCCCAATCCCAATAGTCGCTCTTCCACCCTTGCGCCCTTCAACTGCGCGATCCCGACCAGGGGTGCGAGTGTGTAGGGTGTCCCGATTCTCAAGTGTGGAAGTTGATCACGCCCCCTTTTGCGCCTTTGATCTGCACTTCACCCAAGTCTGCATCGGTCCGGACTTGGGTGAAGTGTATTACCCACCATCCATTGCTGCGGGAGAACAGACTCAAGTTCCTTTTCTGACATTTTGTAATGACATTAGTTTGTTTTAGGACGATTAGTTTTTCTTGTTTGTTTACATCTGCCTATACCCCCCAAAAAAAATCATCAAAAAGCTCATGAGCCACTGGAACTATCACCAATTTAATTATTGGAGTCAACTTTCAAGATGGCTGCCATAGTTAATCAACATTAGCAATAGCAAACACAAAAATGGCCACAACTCTGTGAACTTTATACATGAAGCTAAAATTTTGTGTTGCAGCAGCTGGGACTCATTCATAACACATGTTCTCTAAGCTAATAGATCAGCAAGATTGTACAAACATTATTACAATACTGTCTTTTCTGCAGAAAACACCAAGAAGTCATAAAACCAATTTTTTTCCTACTGGATGAAGGATTTTAGCGATAGAAATAAAAAAGGTAGCCCTGCAGTCAACGTTACATGGATGTGCAGATCGTGTCTATATTGAGTCTGTCAGTCCCAGACCACATCTGTAGGAGGTCCAGACTAAGTCTTTTCACAGTGGGAGAGGTTGGCCTTTTATTTAGCAAGTTTTCAACTAGATCATTTTTGTTTTAGCAGGATTTTTTTTTTTTTGCCATTTTGAAGAGGTTCTGTCTTACATGTGGTGTTGTAGATAGCTTTCTGAATGGCGTAGAGAAAAGGAGAACTACAGGATTGATGATCTAACGGTGAATATGTCCATTCATCCATCCAAACCACTTCATCCACACCAGGGTCTCATGGAGCTGGTGTCTATCTCCAACAATCATCAGGTGAGAGGGCGAGAGACAGGGGACACCCTGGACTAGTTGCCAGTCCTTCACAGGGACACACAACCAGTCACACACTCATTCACTCCCAGGGCACAAGTTAGTCTCCAATGAACCTGACATGCATGTTTATTGATCTTTGGAGTAAACCCACGCATGCATGAGGAGAACATGCTAACTCCACACAGAAAGCAGCCAGGATTCAAACCAGTGACCTTCTTGTTGTAAGGCAGCAGTACTACCAACAGCGCCACTGTGCAGCCTCTCAGGTAAAGTACACACAACTGCTGATCAGTACGCTTTGCTAGCCCTACAGCTGAATTAGCTAACCAGCTAACCATGATAAGTCCCCTCTTAAACAGCAGCAAGCAAGTAGTGCAAGTATGGAAAGCTGTACTATCATATAATCAAACTAAACTTTAATGTGATTTGTGTATTTATTGGTTCATCTAAGTCATTTTCACACACTAGGCCTCATCTAGCTGAGAAGCATCCAATTATTTATTTATCATATCCACATTAGGAGATGTTATTCAGTTCTGCTTTGCTTTATATTTAGCATCAAGTTCAGATCAGACACCATTCATACTTTGGATTGGATGAAAATGACAGAATAATGGGATTTTTTTTGAATAGTGAAGGTACTTGAAGTGAAACACACTTCAAAGCAGCAGAAATATCCTTTTTGAAATTAAAAGTGATCTCCTCACATTTGGCCGTGCCACGCTGGCAGCTTTTGTCCGCCGTGCGGCCCAGCGAGCGGACGTCGCTGTACGGCAGCGTGCTGTCACCGTTGTAGCTGCGCGTGCGACTGGATGGAACCAGCTGGAAGAGGTTCTCCTGAGGCATGAAGCTGCGCGGAAGCGTCCTGCGACCTGAAGGCACATGGATTTGAAAATCAGCAGGCAGAAATGACAAAAGCACACTTGTGTGTGGCGTTTCACCCAGTTACTTTCTAGAAACAGAGATTTAACTCTCATCAGTCTGATCCACTTCCTCTCAAACAGGAAGGACATTTTGTTTTCACAGAAGTTTGGGATCATAACAGAGGTTAGCCTCAGAGCGACAAACTACTAGCAGCTGTCTCAAATCTACATTAAAACAATTGTCCAAATTAGGGAGTTTTATTGGTTTTGAGTAAATTAATCTGACTAGATTTTAGTGTTTTCCTTTAGATATAACAATAATTCCACTGGTGAAGTTCAAGAAAAGCTGGTTTCTTACGATCTCCATACTCCTTGCTGCGATTGGGTAACTGGAACTGGCGTGGGAAAGTCCCTCCTTTCCCATGTCGACCTGGAAAACAGAGCAAAGAAGCTAAAAGCTGAACTCGGCATCATATTTCCACACACTTCTACACTTGGACCTCTCCTTTGAGTAAATTTTCACGTTTCTGAGGTGTACGATTGCAAATCTGTGTGAGCAAAGATGCAAGATAATGATAGTGGACGTTCACACTTCCATAGATCCTATCAAAGAAGGAGACTGCACTGCTTCAGTTCATCTCTGCACGCCAGGTAAAAGTTGAGTTCAGCAGAATGAAACATGCTGTCGTCTCGCAGCGCTGCAGCGGCTGAAAACAGTAAGCAAAGTCAGGTGGGGAGCGCTGCTGACGCACGCGAGCGCCGGCGCTCACAGCACATGAGCTGAACGGGGAGGACCAGAGCCGCTTCCAATTGAAACCAGCTGTTCTGTCAGAGGACGGCCTCCTCTCGCGCCTGTTATTGTGGCTGTATCCCATGGAGACGAGAGTTATTTTTTGAGTTTGGCGATGTGAAAGGGAGAGGAAAATTCTACTCACAGGCAATGATAAACACTGGAGCCATGGGCAGGAAGGGCCACATAGCTTTACATCTGGGGAGGGTGTGTGTGTGTGTGTGTGTGTGCACGTGCATGCAGGTTTGACGTGCTGCTGCAGCCACACACAATATGCAGCACTTCTTTAATTTACAGTGATGAAGGGAGTGGTGCATGAAAGGAAAAGTAAATATGTACAAATTCAAAAGAGGGTCAGTGTGGCATTATCTGTCATCCTGTTCTCAAAGAAAAGATGGAATGGATGGGAACCTGGGGGGGGGGGGGGTTCAAAAGGAGATAAACGATCATGAAATGTCTCCGCCTGTTAGAAATGTCAGATAAGAGAAGGAAAGTCCACAAAGAACGCATGTTTCTTGAATAAAATACATTTAAGGGTCACTCTTCTTTATAGGTAAATACTCATAAATTAAACCTCATTTCATCAGTGATTAGAGATTTTAGCCAAACTCCAGGCAAAAAATGAGCAAAATATTATTTTAAAGCAACGCTAAAGAGTTTTTAACACTTTAAGCTATTGTGTTCAAACTGGCTTCAGTGATTCTTGAGTCAGCAACTTCAACAACTGTACAGCCCTCTGCTGCCCTCTGCTGATCAGAAACTGCCCTCAACAGTTTTGTGGTTCAAGTAGGAACACTCGTGGAAGATCTCTACCAGCTTTACGCAATAGCTTACTGTGCCGGTAGCTAATATAAAGGCTAGCAGTTAGCTTTTTCAGTTCACCAATTGTCAAAAAATACATAAATACACAAGAATGAGAAGAAAATGAATTGTGCTTTTTCTGTTGTCATCATGGCGGAGACTGGAAGTGAAAGTAAGTGAGCAGTGTCTTTGGAGGCAAATCAAAAAGCTAAATCCAGAGTGAACATCAGTGCGGCCTACGCTTGTTTCAGGGAGCTAACGGAGGCTACAAAATCACAGACCGATGATGACCTGGCCTTGTTGCTACTGGACTTGTAAGTAATATTTTTGTTGAACAGTTTGGATTTTTTTTTTTACTTCAGGGCTAATTCACTATCAGCTAGCTAGTGTTGGCACTGGCTTGTAGTTAGCGCTAGCTACAGCAGGCTGCAGCAGGGTTGTTTACAACTGTTGCAATTCCACTTTCAGCCAGTAGGAGGGACAAGCGGGAAACTTAGTTAGCATTGCTCTTTAAAACAGAAACAAAAGCAGCACATAAGAGCTGCAGCTGGATCAGAAACAGTCAACATTCAGCGAAAGTTGGAAGTTTTTACTTCCAAAACAACATTCAAAGTCAATCTGATTCATCTAAGGATTCGTTTACCATATTTTAAAGTTCTCCGAGATTAATCAGAAGCAGTTAAAATCCATATCAGCTGCACTAGAAATGGAAATCTGTATCGGCTAATTAGACCTTAATCTGGGCCTTCATGTTTTGTTTGAGTGGAGAATTAACTCTCACCTTTGCATTCATAGTTGAGGTTCAGGTAATTGTTGTCCCAGTTGTTCTGTGAGAAGGGAGGACTGAAATGACACAGAACAGCAAGAAGGATTTTAATCTGTGTCCGGTTTTCAGACGTCAGACTGGAACACTGGAAAAGACGTAAAGCAACACAAAATGCATCAAAGTGACTTTTCGGTGTTTGAGGCAGAGCTGTGAGTCTAAACAGATGAGCAGATTAAACAGTGAGAAAGTGAAAGTGGTGTTCAGGTGTGTGTGTGTGTGTGTGTGTGTGTGTGTGCGTGCGTGCGTGTGTGTGTGTGTGCCTGCGTGTGCGTGCGTGCGTGCGTGTGTGTGTGTGTGTGGTTTAACAAAACGTGTGTCCGAGACTCCAGAGACTGACGTCTCCGCTGACCGCAGGGCGGCGCGGGGCCACGAGACCCTGGATAAGGGGCACACATGCCTGCTTGGAGGGAAGTTTTCCCTGCACTTGTTTCCTGCCATTGTTCTGCAGCCCGGAGCTCTGATAAGGCTTGTGCAGGTAGAAATGTTTCCGTCCCACTCTAACCAGACCTCGCTCCTGCTCGCTTTGTGGTTTTTCTTTTCTGATTCAGACTCAAGTCCTCCCTCTCTCTGCTTCACACTTCTCATTTTCTGCTTTTCCTCTCATCCGGCGTGTTCCTGTCACGCCTCCCACTCAGTCGCTCGCTTATTCTCGTGATAATGCAGGAATTCGGGTGTCCAGATAAGAAATGTGTCGCCACGGCAACAGCAAAAATGACTCGATTCCTTCTTTTTTTTTTCATCTCAGGAAGGGTCAAACACACAAACTCCCCTCTCTGATCGTCTCTCTGTCCACCATCACTCACCTGTCCAGTGCTTGATCTATTGACTGACAGCTGCTCGACAGCGAGTTGTCTGCACTCCCGAAGGGATCCAGAATCTGACAGAATAAATAACACGGAGGGGTCAAGGGTCACAGGACGTACAGCATCAAGCAGTGCAGATGGAGTGGTGTCCTCACATTATCATCCACTGCAGCAAAGTCACCAAAATATCATTAGATGCATGCAAATATCCTGCAAAGAATTATTTGTCAGCAGGGTGCGGGTTTAAAAAAATAAACAACTAGTTTATTTTATAAAACAAAACAAAAACAAGCATAACTAAATAGTGAATATCTGAATAAAAACCTTGTAAAACTACAAAACACAATTTAGAGTTTATTTCAAATCTCTGACATGAAAAATGGTGCAAATCTTTTCATATTTAATCCAATTTCTAACACTTAAAATGTCATTGTTGCATCTTAAACGAACAAAAACAGAATATTTGCCTAAAAACAACTAGAAGTTTCATATTGAAATCTATTCTGAGATTAAATTCATCTCCAGTTTTCCTTCAGTTTGATCCAATAAGGCCGTTTTCTTTTATCCCACAGACCACATTAACCATCAGCTAGAATCCCTTCAGAAAAACACTGTTTTATAACAAAAGCATCAAATATGATTACAAAATCTGAAATCAATGGTTTATTTTCGAGCTGGTTAAATGTTCATCAAGTTGATGAGGTCTTACATTCTGGTCTGGGGCTTCCGGGATGAACTCCCCCTCGCTGTGGATGCTGGTGTAGGAGCCCTGACGGGCGATCTGCTGCTGCTCCTCTGGGACGCTGCCTGGAGGTGGAGACGTCCGGCCCGTGTGGAGGGAACCTGGGACAGGTGGGAGACATTAAAGGATGGTGACAGAGGTCAGACATCCCTCTTTAAGATGACATTTTCCAAGTCCCAAGGCGTTCCCGCACCAAAATGGTCTGCCTGGAAAACCTCAGCATGAAGGAGACCCTGAGGCACCCTACTCCGATGCCTAAACCACTTCGCTTTGCTCCTCTTGATGAGGAGGATCAGCAGCACTTTTAAGCAGTGGGTGTCCACACCCATATCACCCAAGCTCACAGTAAGGGACTTCACTTCTTCTCCACCATGACAAAACCAACCCACGCTGAAGGTCATCACCTACGCTTTAACTGTGGTGATGTAAGGTTTTCACGAGGCTCGAAGCAAACAAGGCGCAGCCAAGGAACTGTGCGGTCATTTATTCATTACAGTGGTGTGTGTTTGGGCGTTGGGGGAGGGGGGCATACAAAAAAGTGTGCATTCGCTCTCTGGGTGAGCATTTGGGAAGGGGAGGGACTCGTCAGGGAGTGTAAAGAAGTTAAAAAGTCTTCACTCTGGGGGCCCCTGGTGGCTCGGAGGCCCTAAGCAATTACCTACCCTGCCTATCCTATTGGTCAGTGGCGCCTCTGCACTAAAATCAACCGATATTGGTTTTTCTATTGCCGATACGTAGGAGACAAGGACAGTCAATGGCCGATACGCACAGCTAATTTTTATGGGCTGATTTCCACGCCCATCTAGATATTTTCCACCTTATTTTCATGCTAAAATGTCACTAATAACATCAGTCGATGCATAAAATTTCTGAAGCTGAATCAGTTTTCAACTCTGAATTTAACAAACTGTTAAATGTTACCTTTGTGCATTGCTCGGTGTTAAAGCCGGACACCTAAATAAAGTTCATTTAGAGTATTTATAATGCTGATGTCATTTGTGAACTTACAAATATATTTAAATTAAATTCTGCAACAGCACCGGGCTGCCCGAGGATGTGCCCGACTTTAAATCGGCTTTACAAAAGACAAATATCGGCCGATGCTGATGAATAAAAAGCGGTAAATATCGGCCTCCCCCTACTTAAGATTTTGTCCGGGAATGCTGGAAAACAGGATCTGTGATGAGGGAATGCCTAACCCAGTGGACTAATGCCAAAAATGAAGACACAGCATGTCTCATGGTGGACGCAGGTCCACTAAACACACGCGGAGTGGTAAACTCCCAGATCTGATCAACAACCTGAAAGAACGATCATCCGTTATTTCTGCTTACAGGAGAAACTTTGGTCTGCAGCTGCAGCTGAAAGCAGGCGGGCGCTCGTCCTTTCTCCAGTCAAAGCGTCCACTGAGGCCGTCACACAGGCCCAACGGGACAGAAATGTTCAAAGAAAACATCCCAGCAGAAATAAAGTTCTGTGTTTTTGTTGGTCTCAGTTCTCCTCGTCTCGAAGTTGGCCCTCTCCTCACCTCCTGTGCTGTTAGACGTCTTAGACGTACCCGAGCTCACATCACATCTCCACTCAACCATCCAGTGTGACCGCGCTCCTGTCATCTCTTATCTGCCACCACCACCACTCCTCCTCTTCCATCCTCTCAGACTTACAGCAGCCAGGCAGAACAACTGATTAATCATTTTATTTAGCTCACAGGATTCCACAGCAACGAGATTCCTGTTGCTTTAGGCTGTCGTGTGAAAAATTCAAAGGTGTGGAAAAGATTCGGTTCGATTTCTGTCTCTGGTTTGGAAGTGTCGACCTCTCGGGTCTAAAGAATGAGAAAAAACCTTTTAGGGGTGTGAGAATTTCCCACAGAGCAGCATAAACCTTCATGCTGTGTTAGCAGGCGAGCCAGAGGGGACGGCAAACCTGGCCGGCTGTTACCCAGCCCACAGAGTGCGACATGACAGGAATCTGTCTGAGAGGATTAGTCTGACATTTTGCAAAAACATCTGCCCTTCTCCGACGGGAAGTTCGTATAAAACCTGTTTCTGTTGAGAGCTTTTCCCGTTTCATTTACCTGTGGAGTGTTTGCGCACCCTCTCCGAGCCTTTGAACAACGAGCCCTTCAAGTCGCCTAACGAGCGCGAGGACTTCATCTCGCTCTGTTTGTCCCTGCTGTTCACCTGTAGATACTGAAGAGGAGGGGGGGGGGGGGGGGGGGGGGGCAGGAAAAGCAGGATGGAAAAAGATGAGAAGCGGAAGCGGGGATGGGATTACATCATGATATTGCACCAGCGTGATTTTTAGAAACCGAGCTGAAGCGGACTTCATTCAAATGTTCAGGTGGCGTTCGCTGACTCCTGTGTGGCTGCGGAGATTTGCATGTGGAGGCAGGGACTCACGTGGTTGTTTTTGGGGGTCTTCAGCAGGATCCGGAGCAGCCCGTTAGCTCCAGAGGTGCAGCCCAGACTCAGCACGGCCTGATCCAGGTCCTCCTGGGTCTTCAGGGGCAGCAGCAGCTTGAAGAAGAAGACGATATGACCTTTTATTCTCCGTTGTCCGTTAGGGAGAGCATGTAGCTGCAGCAGAGCTGGACATTTCATCAGCTAAGGGAAAGTTGGTTCTGTTTATTAACTAAATGTGCAGCAACAGACCGTTAAGCTTTTCATACAGTTGAAGTGATGTGAACAGTCTTGCAACTAATATTGCAGCATTTTTGATCTAAAAGGCCTTTTGTCAGATATAAATGTTTCCTCGTGTTTGACAAATATTCTTCAGATGCTTACAGCGTTTCTCGTTGCTGAGAGAGTTTAGAGTTCTACAGTTTTTCTCTTAAATGGAAAATACTTTTAGGATTTCTGGCACTGTGAGGCGTTCTCGTCTGCTGACTCGACCACCCGACTCGACGTGCTCTGCTCAGACTCAGGCTGCTCTGAAAACAGCGTGCATCCATTTAGGAGATGGAAAGGGGGGGTTATATGCTTCATCCCACACTCAATTGCATGCAAAGACATGGACATGCACTGAAGGTTTAGCTTAAATATGCTAAAAAGGGAAAATCTATTTTATATAAAACACTAAAATTGTAAAGCAACCATTTTCAAACACCGAGCTCATTAAAATGTCTAACATCGACTCACTGCTTATTTCTCAGTTCCAACTTTTAACTTCTTTCTGCACGTTTATGACATAAAAAGTTCAAATCTGGATGTCAGTTTAAAAAAAACAAAGCTTTATTAAGTTCTTAAGATGCTGACAGCTCGACAAAAACAAATTTCATGCAAGTTAAGAGGCTCAAATCAAAACCAAATGTGTTCTGGATTGTGCTATAAAATGACATGATGGATGGATGGATGGATGGATGCAATTTCAGTTAACTTCATTTTTTTTATAAGTGTTTTTCTCCCCAGAAGAAGCAGCAATGATGTTCTGCTGAGCTGTGGCTTGAACATTGTTGCTAACCACCTAAACATTCTCCATGTCCTGATACTAAAATTTCACTTTCTTTGACATTGAATGTGCTACTACTAGTTTACCCGTTTAATTATAGATCCACTAGGATAAATCCAATAAAGTTTATCTCTCACCAAATAGAATATTTACTAAGAAATCACAATGTAACCATAGAAACACTACTTGGTATATATGTTGTTTGTGTGTGTGTGCGTGCGTGCGTGTGTGTGTGTGTGCTCTGTCTTCTTGATCCCCAGTGAGTCGTGGAGGATGGCTGCTTATACTGAGCCAGGATTCTCTGGAGGTTTCTTTCTGTTAAAAAGGAGTTTTCCTCTCCACTGTCGCTAAATGCTTGCTTAGTATGAGGATTGCTGTAAAGTCACTGACACTAGTCAGTGACTCAATGCAATGTGCTGGGTTCCTTATTTAGGAAACTTTTTACTGATTGGCTTAATGAACTGACCTGTATTGGAACGTTTACTATGTGAAGTGCCTTGAGACGACTCGTTGAGATTTGGCGCTATATAAATAAACTTGAATTGAATTGGTTGGATGGATGAATGGATGGATGAATGGATGGATGGATTTTGAACACTGCAGCATCTGGGTTGTGTGTGGGACAAAAGGGACGCGTTACAATGAGCCGAGGGACAAGAGGTCCTCTGCAGGCTTCAAACACCTTTAACTCTGCAAAAAGTACAAAAATATCTAAACAGGATTTGCTTTAATATGAAAAAAACAAACCTTCCCAGTGGGTTTTGATAAACAGAGACAGGAAGTGAGCCAACAGCTAGATTTCTGATGGGGTGTGAGATTTTTTATTTGCACAGGCCCTAATGTCAAATTTCACTTTCCAAATATAACCATAAAACTTCTCTAGTGTGCACGACTAAATTGTGAGTTTGTTTTCTCCAATGTCGCTTTAGGGGTTCCATTGAGGGCAAAGCGGAAACGTTCTAGTTTGGAGGGTTTGACACCAATTTTGGCTTTTTCCAAAAGTTATGATTAGTAGATTCCAAAATTTAAAGCATTCAGAATAAGTAGAAATTTCACTCTGGAAGTAAAAACTTCTGCTGCTGCTAGCATGAATTAGCGATCACTGATGGCGAGTTCTTGGAATGGGAGGAATGTTGAATTATCTCACCTCCTTTTCCGTGAAGTACATGTCCATGTGCTGGCCAAAGGCCTCTGTCACTTTCTGCAGCAGCTCCCGGATCTTCAGCGGCCTCTGAAACGGGATGATTCTAGAAACAGAGGAATGCTGACAGGGTCAGAGGTCAGAGGAAGAGGTTCATGTTGTGTCTGGCTTGCAGCTTTCGCAGATTGCAGAAAACGTTAGATTCATTAAAGATCCCTTCTTTTCTGACCCATTTCTAGCGATTTTAAAACAAGACGGTTTTTGATGGCGTTTCTATGGCAACAAGAGAGAAAAATAGACAGGTCAGCTAGGTCAAGGAGAGGAGTGAGCAAAGCCCTGCAAGATGCAAACAGAAGATTATTTGATGCAGTGAAAACAGAAAGTGCTTATCTACTGTAAGCCTGCGTGTGAGATTTTTGTCTGGGTTGGAGCTCATCACACACACGTGTTTGTAAAACTCTACATGCATGAGTGTGTTTCCCCAATCAGTGTGTGCATCGGCCACTGTTTCAACACGGCCGGGCCTCTCGGCTAACGCCAGCACAAAAGCAGATGGGAAACTTCCTGAGAGGAAGGGGGGGGGGGGGGGGGGGGCAGTAAAAGCAGCAGGATGTGAGCCTTCTTCTTTAAAGAGTGACAGAGTGAAAGATACACAGACATGGTGATATTTACAGATTATGAGAAGGAAAATAAAGGAGATGGGCTGTGAAAATAAAGAGAGAGAGCTTTCCCCTCCTGAACAACGTTCTGCTTTTGAAGAATGTGCAGCTCTTCATCTGGTCAGAGTCCTGATAAAAGGTTTGTTTTTGTCCCATCGTTTCCTCATCAGAGGACGAGGCTCTGCCTATCTTAATGACCGCTCACTGGTTCCCTCGTTTGAGGAGAGGATTCTGGGAAGAGGGAGGCCTGCAGATCAGAGACGAGCAGCGGCGCAGCTAAACGCTCGCCGGCTGTTTAGATTCAGGGATGATTTATGTGATAAAGAGGTGGGGGTGGGGGGTGGGGGGGGGGCTCTAAAAGACAACTTTCCTTCGTCTGAAAACGAGTGGACACAGAGATGTTATAGAAAAAAATCTGATGTCAAAGAATGCTTTCACGCTGGCTCCCTCCTTTCCTTCGGATGTATTTTCTGAACAAAAATCACAATAACACACACACACACACACACACACACACACACACACACACACACACACACACACACACACACACACACACACACGGAGGAAGAAAAAAGTCTGGCTCTGTTCCTTCATTCTCTGGAAGGAGACCCCGAGCCAAGGGGAGAGAGACACTCTGCAGCTCCTACTTCCTGCCTCAAACCTTCACCGCTTGCCAATGAAAAGAGAACCCTTCCAGTGTGATTCCATTGTGGACACACAACACGATTATCCTGACTCAGGGACTCCTGATGCCTCCGACTGCCGTGGACTCAGCTCAGATACAACACGGTCTTTACTCCGCTGCTGCACAATTAGATTAAGCTGACAGAAAGCCACGTGGTGGTTCCAAGAATGAAAGGAAGTTTGGATCGTTTTCCTTTTTCTTCTAAACCAAAACAAAGTTTTCTTTTAAAGGAAACTCGAGCTGAAACCAAGGTGAAGATTTTCTGTTTCATTAGATCGATTGCTAAAAAAATGCTACTTATGCATCCAAATCCACTAAACAAACTGTTCAATGAAGTAATTTTTGCATCTTCTTTGCACAGAAATGCTCCACTTTCCTAGCTTAGACTCTAAATAGAAGTCAGCTGTTGTGCACATAAAGGTTTATTTAATAAAGAATCAAATCTAAAAGAAGTCTTATTTTGTACTAATTTTATCAAAAATAAATAATTAACACAATATTTTTTGCATTTTCACAAATGATTATCATTATTGCTATATTAGTAACTTTATGGTAATGTCAACATCGTTATTATCAGATCTGTTATCCTAACATCAGAATTATTACTATAAGATCTATTTAATTACCCTAAGATCATTATTGAAATATCAATATCTTATCACCATGACTATGATTATAATATCAGTAACGATATTGTAATATCAGTATGTTATTAATAGCGTTATCGTAACTGCAGACTTGGGAGTTGAATCGGTTTTACCTTAAAGACCAAGTTCACTCTTTTTTCAACACATCTGCAGTGATCTAGTATAAATGAATGCCTTGTGAGCTGATCTCCGTGGGGAAAAAAAGCTCTGGCGCTCCTGTTACAGGAACTAGAAGTTAGTCAGACAAGTGACAGCAGTAGATGGCAGGTTTTGGAGTTTTATTTCCTGATATTCTGGATAACTTGCCTCTGATTGGCTAAAAGGAATGTGACTTTACCACTGACTCAGTTTGCTTTGGAACGTAGATGTTTTATCTACACAACTAACACAAGCATGAAGAAGTTCTGTCATGTCGTGCAGTTGCTAATGTTAACGTCAGCTTTTACCAGCCAAGTTGTGCTCTGCTCTCTCCTGGATGCTAAATCAACAACAGCCTTCCCCATCAGGAGTCAAGATGGATGAGTCCATGAATGCTAACCTCCAGTCTGACGTAGATCTGACTGGATTTTCTAAACTGAGCAACAGCACTAACCACTGCGCATCCTAGCCTAAAGTACATTTACGCAAATATAAATGAGGAATCTCGCTGAAGTGGTGTGTGCAAACGTTTTCTATATGTTGAAACTTCAAATTGATTGCAACTAAAACTTAAGTGAACCTCGGCCAACCTTACTTGCGGCAAGTTGGCGGCTCAAATTCTTGAAAACTTTATTTGCATTTTTTGGGCAAAAATGTCAGATTTACATTCTTTCCTCCATTCAGTCACAACTTTGTTTCATAGACCAGCTCTTCTAAAATCCCTTCTCTTGTCTTGCACTTTTTGACTCAGTCGTTCCAGATGGACTCCAGACAACCGCGTCGACTCCGTGACTCTGCCACTCACACGAGGAACTAGAGGACCCTGGTAAACATTAAGGAAACCCCTCTGTGATCTTGCTATTTTTCAATTTCACCAGAGAAAGACACACTCTAGTATGTACTTTTGAAATATTTCGACACCTTACTGGTAAAGAATGCTAAAGGTTCCCTTCGTAACTGGACCTTTTCCCTCTCAACTAATCTATAAAGAAGTATTGATAGTAGCACCTTTAAATAAATATTTAAGCCTTTCTTATGCTTAAGCTGATGCAGAGCTTTGGATTTGAAAGGAAACATGTTAATATTTTACCTGTAGAGCTGATAAAGGCGCCAAACCTAAGTGAAAGCAGTCGGCGAGAGCAAATGATTTAACAATTTAGCAGATCGATGAGTGTGAGATTTCTGCTTGAATGTGTGAGCGGTGTTCGAACGTGAGCTGTCTGCTGGAAGAGGAGAGAGGCGCAGGATGAAGGAAACAGACGGAGGCAGGAAGACACGGACATGAAAAACTTGTCTCTTCCTCAGCAGCAGCAGCCAATTAGGACGCTGAAAGAGCTGAGAGGCTCGTTGTGGATCTATATTCTGTCTGGGGAAACATGCTGCTTCCTTTGCCTTTCTCACTCTCTGCAAAGCTCGCTGCTTTCTAATCATCCAGCCAATGCTCGCTCCTTTGGTCCAAAAGCAGTCGTTCTAGAAGATTTGGATAGATTTCCCTCCGGTTTCTCCTTTTTAACGGAGCACACAGCACTCTCCCTCCTGCGGGACTCAACGGGGACTTGATTGGCTTCTGAGAAACCCATCAGAGTCCCAGGATGCTGCACCTTCGCAAGGTGAAATGATTTAGTTTCGAGATGGGTTTTTTTTGCCTTGAGGATTTGTTTGTAACAGAATGATTTCAGTAATTTCAATTGCACTTACGTGCATGTGTACAGTTACTCCGCAGATGCATGAAAGAGGTAATGTAAAAACAATAATCAGACATGAGCAATACGCACAAACATCAAAACATAAGCATGCTTTAAAAGGCCAAAAATCTGCAAAGTTTCCTCAAAAACTGACCAAAGATTTCCTCTTCGTACTTAATTTTAAAGGCCAAGTTCACTTGTTTTTTCAACACATTTGCAGTTGTCTCTAGAATAAATGAATGTCTTGTGAGTCAGTCTCTGTGGGGGAAAAACACTTTAATACTTCTGTTTCAAGATGTAAAAGTTAGCCAAAAGAGTGGGGAGCAGAAACGGCAGATTTTGGATTCTTACTTCCTGATATTCAGACATCTTGCCTCTGATTGGCTAACAGCAATGCCACTCTACCACTGACCATGTTTTCTCTGCAATGTTATGTTTTAAACCCACAAATAACACAAGCCTGGTGGAGTTCTGACATGTTGTGGAGTTGCTAATGCTAACAGTTCTGTTAGCCAAAACGAGCTCTGCTCTCTCCTGGACGCTAAATCAACAACAGCCTTCCCCGAGCCATGAGGGGTGAGTCCATGAACGCTCATTATCAGTGGGAATTAAATCTGTTTGGCTTTTCTAATCCAAGCATTTCCTCTGCTATTTTCTATCGGGTAGAAAACTATTTTCAAGTTTAATTCTAGAGGGGGGGGACTACTCTGCAATGTTGATGTTTGATCTCCACAAATAAGACAAGCCTGGAGGAGTTCTGGTGTGTTGTGGAGTTGCTAATGCTAATAGTTAGCTTCTATTAGCCGAGAAGTTCGCTGCTCTACCTGAATGCTAAGTCAACAACAGCCTTCCCCGAGCCAAGACGGGCGAGCCCATGAATGTTCATTTTCAGTGTGACATACCTGGCTTCTCTACTCCGATCGTCTATTTTCTTTTGGGTAGAAGACTATCTTCATGTTTAGCCTGCACGTTAAACTCAGTGACCAATCATATCACAAATAATAAGCATGTAAATAAACTGTTTCTCAGTGAACTTGGCCTTTAAGATATTAAAATGCGATTAAGATGAGTTTTTTAACCACATTCTGCCCAAAGGATCCATAAAAAACTCAACAAGCTAAAAAATGACTTTGGCTACATGCCCAAAATACTCCCTGTACTCTTTCCACTCCTGAAATCAAATTAAACAAGAATATTTTCCTCTTCCCTTCATGCCGCTTTGGCATGTAACTGTGATTTCCTCCCTTAGGCACAAAGTTCCCGGCATGGTAAAGCCTAGCAAAATAGATCCAAACTCCAGAATTTGACGGGTGAGGTGGAAAAAAAACTAAACGGAGGCTCCGACGTACCGTTTCTCTCTCTCATGCTCCAGCTTGACTCTTAAATCCTGTAGAGAGAAAGAATAACAACAGTGGAGTTAGAGAGGTGGAAAGCTGCAATGATTCATGAGAAAGTGAATAAACTAGAGATGGAACGAAAGTAAAGCTTTATTTTTAATCCAGAAATGTAAAGGAGGACATGAAACGGCATATTCTCTTCAAAGTCAGAACCGAGGGGGCTTGGCAGGAATCTGGAGGAGCCTGGAAGTCTGCGTGAGGTCATTTTGATAAACGAACGCTGTCATCATATCAGAGAAGAGACTGGGTGAAAATTAGGGGCTCGCAGAGGAAAAGCAGCGGAAACTTTCTCCTCTCCTAGTGGTTTGTTTACCTCTCTTCATAAACACCGCCGCTTTAAGAGGATTTGCCAATTATCATTCCTCGGACAAAAATGCGTGAGGAAAATGACTTGTGAGAGCAGAGCGAGGCGACTGAGGGGAAGTTTTAGGAAAACTGCGCTTTTTCCACATTAGTGTCAATAAAATGGAATTAAGACGGAGCGTAAGCTGCTTGTTGGCTTCGTCCTGACCTAAAACTAAGGCAACAACCTTCACCTGGCTTTCACCATGGCTGAATAAATCACAAAGACAGAAAGGCTGAGGTATTGTGTGGAAACGCTCAATGACAGTTAAGGTTAGAGGATCTCGAGTTTCTGCGGAAAGAACAAAATAACTCCTCCCTAAAATTGTAAAATACATGTTCTAACGAAATTACTCTTCCAGTTGATTCACTAATTCTCAGGTAAAAGGATGAGATTAAAATAAACGAGCCATTCAAAGCTAAACAAAGGAAAAAAAGAGAACCTGGCAACAGAGAACAATGGAAGATCCGAGTTTAGAACGATTAGAACAAATAAAAGCTTTTAGTAAACCTTCTGTAGAAAAGTCCGTTTCTGTACGCCAACACACTCGTTAAAAGCAAATTATCAAATGATCACCAAAACAATTAGATTTGGACACATTTAGACTACGTGCAGCAAAATGTTAAAGGGTTAGTTTCACTAGATTTGATTTTTTTAAGGTTCTGTGGAAAGATTAGAAGCAGTTAACATCTTACCCGTTGTGGATAGATAGCACTGAGAACAGCCTCGGTTTGGAGATAATAGCTTCTGACAGGACTGACATGCTAACTGCTAGTCAGAGCAGGAGTCAAATATAGTTTTGAAAGATTAAACTGTTCTCTGGTAATCTTTGTGGTTTCAGAGCAGGAGGAAACTAGATTATCACATCTTTATTGCGTAGTTAGTGAGCAGTCATTTTTATAAGTAAAAACACAAAACAAGCTTAAATGCTAACGCTGTTGCCATAACTGACCCTTGCTAAGATGAACATGGTGTACTACTAGTGTGGGCGACGGTGGCACAGGAGTTAAGTGCTCGCCCAGTAATCGGAAGGTTGCAGGTTCGAGCCCCGCTCAGTCTGTCGCTGTCGTTGTGTCCTTGGGCAAGACACTTAACCCACGTTGCCTGCTGGTGGTGGTCGGAGGGACCGGTGGCGCCAGTGCTCGGCAGCCTCGCCTCTGTCAGTGCGCCCCAGGGCAGCTGTGGCTACATCATAGCTCATCCCCACCAGTGTGTGAATGGGTGAATGACTGATTGTGTTGTAAAGCACCTTGGGGGGTTCCAGGACTCTAGAAGGCGCTATATCAAATACAGGCCATTTACCATTTACTAGAAAGGCCTAAAATGGCTTTGATCAACTCAGCGCTTTATTTGTTTAGCAAATGAAGAAATAATTTGTTGTTTTGCTGACAACTCCTGCAGGATTACAAACATCTGACTAGCCATTAGCTTGTCAGCCCAGTCAAAAATACCAACTTCTCCAAGCTGATGTTGCTCAAAAAGTGATCTATGACAGGTAGGAGGATGATTGCTCATGAATGCTCCACAGAAACCCTCTGCAGAGGAATCTGGACTGAGACAAAACACAAGGAGAAGGGATGTTTACCTGTTTATAGAGTAGAGTTCTGCTCTTGGGCTTGTGGATGCTATGCTGGCTGGAGTAGCGGCCCAAAGCCGCCAGGTCCTTCATGATGGAGTTAAGTGCCTCCTCGTCATCTGAGACCAAAGGAAGAGAAACTTTTAATTTTTGAATTAAGCAACAATAAGTCAACATTTTGAGAGTTGGCTCAGAGCAGGCCACGAAGCAACATGTGGGCAGCAACTTCCTGTTCTAGTGAACATCCCTGTGGTTTTTCACCTATTTTAACAAGAACGGCGTTTTCTTCTTCAGCAAATACATGCATCAGATCCGAACCGTCTACGAGCGAGATTCAATCAATCATTTAACAAAAGGAACAAACATCTGGTTTTATAGTGATTGAAATAAATCTTAATTTCCTTTCTGACACACTGAAACTGAGGCAATCGCGCTGATGAGCATTAACATGTGAAGAGACCTTAATGGAGCCAATTATCCCAGAGCAGCACTCGCGGTGAAAAAGGAGAGGTCGTTGACCTCTGCTCCTGCCTGCCTGCCTCTTGCATGAATGAGAGATGAGCACACACACATTTTTCTCACACTGAAACCTGGCCAGGTGTGTGCAACACAAGTAGTACCTGCAGGAAAGACAGCATTCTTTCAAATAAAAATAAAGTTCAGGGGTAAAGAGAGTTTTCTGGAGGACAACAAGTCAGGGTAGTGACTCGGGGGGACAACAGCCGGTCCCTGAGACTGGGTTCATCCCAAGGTCAAGAGGAGATGGATCCACAGATTGTTTGCTTTTCCTAACTTTGGGATCATCCAGTTGGAGAGTTCCTTCCACCCGACCACTTAACTCGTGCTTTTCTGCTGACACTGAGGCTAACGCTAGCTCGTGTCCCCTTTTCCCTTTTGCATTTTTGTTGTTTTCCCTAAATCAAAGGAATACTGAATAAAAAATAAAAAGTTGAGCTGGAGCGAGAGCTGCTAAAGTGAATTCGGGTTGAGTATCGGAGGCTTTAATAGGTGGCAAAACAACAAATAAATCCCACCTACAAATGGAAACTTATACTCCCACAGCCAAAGGCCTCGACGCCACTCCCAGTCGCAGCGTGCTGTAAACTGGATGTTGAAAGGAGCAGACGAGGCCGGGCTGGATTTAGTGTTTACTGTCAGTGGGGGTGAATGACTAACTGTCCTTTCTTAACTGGAAGGAACTGAATCACTTGTCTGTTCTGGGCACAGACTTGACAAATCCTGAGATTGATTTTCCCTTTGACCCCCCCCAAAAAAGTATGATTTTTTTTATTTTTTCCTCTGAAATAAATTATTTGCTCTTAAAATTACCACTGCAACTAATTACTGGTGATTATTTTGGGAGGAGAAGTGCAAACTTTGGGGGTTGTCTTCTCACCTTGCAGAAAAAGGTGCTAATTACAACAAGCGTTTGATATTTACATATTTATTTATCTCAGTTTTCTTCACCCTGCTTGTCTCTGGTGATACGACTCTCGATCCCTGCCTCTAGACTGTCCTGCACACTCGCAGTCAAGGATACAAAACAAGCAAGAGGCCTGCATGTGTGGGTGTTATGTGCCTATGGATAATAGCAGTGTTGAGGGGGAGTGGAAGGGTGAAGAGGGCAGCAGGAGTGTGAGAAATGTGTGGTGTTGCACAGAGCTGGGCTATAAATGAAGTTATTGCCTCACCCGGGCCTGGGCAATGGCCACTGCCAGGCTGAGGCCGGCCAAGGCTAACCGCCAGACCGGTGGAGGGCTCTCACACGCACCAACGCAGCCAGACCTGGCCATCAAAAGGCCCCAAAGCTGGCTTCAGAAGTAAGTCAACATGACCCTGGACTGGATTTGGTTTTTGTCTGCAGGTTTTGATACATGCAGCTCATTTCCTGGTTTTAGGTCAAATCTGATCAGTGCAAAAAAAAAAAAAAAAAAAGTGGGGAATTCCAGGAAGCTGGGCAGCAGCCTGCAACATTACACAATGAAGGCTTGTTGCAAGCCATTGCATCATCATTCTGCATCCATCTTTTTTTTCTCAAACTAAGAAGAAAGAAACCGTGAAGGTGACAGCGGATGGAATGCAACAGTAATTCCAGTTAACATTAAAGGAGATCTGCTTGGCTCTAACTGGTGCTCAAGCTGAAACCAGAGCAGCCCAAATCACTTTAAACTAAAAAAAAATTATACAAACAGGCACAGGCTATCGCCTGGAGTGTGTTTGGAGGGTAGCTCTTGCTCTAGTGCTGCAACTTTCTAGTCTGTATTGTGTAACAAACAGCGAGGCAGAGCAGAGTGAGAACAGTTTGCCTGGAAAGACACAGAGGGGGATTTCCTTGTGCAGAGAGACACATCATGGCAAAGACATCCGGCGGGATTAGCAGCTGGAGCCAAACATGTCCTCACTCTGCAGCAGCAGTCAGGTCAACACACACGCAGAGCTGCACATGCACAGCCACTTTATACTCTAATGGGTGTAATGTTTAAACACTTAGGGTTAATCTTTCACCAAGTCCCTGGTGTAACGCGTGTAGGTGTGGAACTGGATGTGCAATCAATGTTTGCAATCAGAGTTGAGCTGCAAATCTCATTTTTGTCAGTAACTTTGGAATGTTGCAAATCTGACAGCTGACTCTGGAATTAGACCCGTGCAGATGGAAAACTACATGCATGAATTGTTTTTATTAAGCTGTCTTTGGCCAACTTAACAGGTTTTTCAACAAAAAAAAAGTTTCCCAGAATGCATTTCCTTCCTCTGACAACAACTGATGTTTGCTGCTACAGGGCGTCTGCTAAAGATCCTGAAGTGAAGCTAGCTTCTAACGTGCAGACTTTATGTACACATTTTGTGCTATTTAGGGCTGGGCGATATGGCCTAAAATCAATATTATGATATATTGAGGATTTTACCTCGATAACGATAAATGAACGATAACTACAGGTATGTGCAGAAACAAAAGTTGTCCACTAGATGGGGCTGTCACGTGTATTAGCTGAGTCACATTTTTACGTGACTCAAGGTGGTACAGCTTCTTAAAGGGACATGAACGTTGCCAAATTACACACATCTTTTCATTTTTTATAATCATATTTGTTGACATGGGAAAAATTATCATGATAGGAGTCAGAAATTTCAACAACGATAAATTTTCGATTTATTACCCAGCCCTAGTGCTATTGCAATTTATTTTCTTAAACTGGACTGTTTGTTTTCTATTCTGATCAAACAACTGCAACATGTCTTTCAATTGTTATTAAATGAAGTGCTTTTCAACACTGAACAGACGAAAACATTAGCAAGACTTTAGCTAGGCTAAATGCTAGCCGTTTTGTTTGCTGCCTCTGCTGAGCTACTCAGCTTGGCCGTGGTTCCAAATAAATTTCGTTTTATCAAGTCTGCTGTCTGGAAGACATTTATACAAAAATTTAACAAAAAAAAAAGTTCTCCAGTTCTTTTAAATTTTAAATCACATGAGCACTGTACCAGTTCTAGCCCTGCCCCCAAATAATCTCATTGGTTAAAATATTGGATGACATTCATCTTAACCAATAAGGATGAAGATCTCATCCCTGCTTTGACCACGGGGTCATCTACGTGTCCAGTGCCAGTGGGCATCGAACTTTCAAAACAAAATGAATAGAAAACGTATTAAAGCTGTAATGGCAAATATGCAAAACAAGATAGCGTTACAAGCTAGCTTTTAAATTCAAACATGGTCGCAGAAACCTCACCCATCCCATCAACTATGATCCGTAAACCACGTCCGTTTGATACCGGAACACACATTGCCACCATAAATGAGAGAGCTCTAAACACCAGTCAATGTTTTCTACGTCCAAACATCTTTTATTGTCTGTGACTCCAAATGGTGTTTTTCTTTTTGAGAGTCTAGTAGTTTGTCAAAAAGCTGAAGTGGTAGCAGCCGACTGTTTCTACTTCTCCGATATTATTGAACAGCAAACCTCTCACACCAGTGGTGTTCTGTTGCTAAATACGTGAGTGCGTAATGCGTGGAGGACTCGGGTAAATGTGGAAGTGTGGCGGTTCGGTGAGACAGACGACCAGATGGTCCAATAGTTGTCCGTGTTATTGGCAGAGGTTGTTAGACAAATGCAAGAAAACCACTTCATTCTTATTTGTTTCTTTTTTTTAATCATCCACAAAATATTTATAGCTATACGATGTTAGGACTTTGTTAAGAGGAATAAAAAGATGTTTTAAGCTAGCATGTTTTGCAGATTTGCCATTGTATCTTTATTGCAAAGCAAGGCAGCTTATTTATATAGCACTTTTCATACACTGAAGTAATGTGCTTAATGAATGTGCAACAAATAAGTGAGTAAATAATTAAATGATGTTTTCAACCCTGGTATTTACATTTGTCAGATGACTGATTAGTTTAATTGAACTCTTTTGGACAGCCTACCTTGTGTGCTCCTGTGCTGTCCAGGTCCATTGTAAAGACCGTCATCTGTGGGGGTGAAATGCAACACTGTTGAAAACTGACCCAGAACAAATGACCTGTAACATATTTGTTATGAGAAGAATGATCTGACATTCAGTACAGCCACCACTAAATCTTCCAAAATGTCATTTTTCAAAAATCAATCCATCTCAAAGCTGCTTGTATTTTTACACCCTTCTTCTTTCTCTCTACACCATTCCTGTCAGAGGAAGCGTGCACACTTTTGTGTATGTGCACACTTTGTGTATGTGCACACTATTGTGTATGTGCACACTATTGTGTATGTGCACACATGCAGAAACTTAGTTCTGCTCACCCATGTTTACGGTCATCATCAGGAAGTGGCCCTGTTGAACTCGAGCGCGGAGCTCAACTTCTGCCTGAAAACGAAGACTTCACCCTGAAAGTGACAAAAGAACAAAATATAAATTACAAAACAGTTTTCCAACATCCATGTTTTCGTCTTTAGTTTCGCTTCACATAATGTTCCTATGATTTCACAAAAACAGTGACTAAACAGGATGCAGGTGGTGGCGTTAAAACAAAGGTTTTATTTCCCAACTGGTGTTCCCAATATTTATTTATTCGTTCTGCCCTCCTGAGATGGGTTTATGCTTCTGCGAGTAAAAACACACAACCTTCATGGAGAGCATTCCTCTGGTTTAATGGTACTGGAGAAGTGTTTGAGATCCCACAATGCAAGTGATTCAGGTGTGGGTGGGCTCACTAAACCTATTCCTTAAGGAAAAAGCAGCCATCAGGTTCCATAATAGTCCTTTTTTTTAACTTGCTTCATGAAGTTTTTGATTGATTGAAATAAAATAAAAATGCAGAAGTTTAAAAAATTCCCTCAAAATTGGCTGCTCTGTTAAAAAATATTGACTTAATTAAAGAAGACGGTTTTATCCTGTGGGAGGTTTCGCTCACGCAAATGCTGCAGGAAACGTGGTTGTTCTTTGAATGCAGGAATAAAAACGAGGAACAGTAACCAAAAACATTTAAAAAGTAAAAAAATAAAAAATAAAAACTACAGCTGCACAATTTGGCGATTGTGATCCGTCACAAGGACATGTGTAGGACAGAAATGGTTTCAGGATGTTTTGGTGCACAGTATTATTGACTGCACATGAGGTCATACTACCAAAAAAATAACAAAGTTGGAATCTTAGCCACCACAAAACTTGGTAAACAAATACTTCAAATAAAAATATAACTATTTCATTTCCTTTTTAAAGTGACAACGTCTACTTTCCTTGGCAACAGGGGGCAGCACATACCTAAATCATTACAAGCAAGCAGTATATTTTGTTTGTGTAAGACCTTACCAGTGAATGGCCATTAGGGTCAAAAATCCCTGGGAGCACAACCTCCAGATAAATGACGCACATCCGACTCCCTTTCATCACTGACTACATGTGAAAAGGTAAATGTGTAAAACATCACTGTTTATGAATGTTGAAAGTTTAGTAACCACTTGTTACAAATCAGTAAATGCGTTTTGTCTTCATGGGCTCCCGTAGAAGAAAACATGGCATCTAATATGGCGTCGCCTATGAGACCCACTCCCATGTATTTTAGACCCGATTTTTATGGTTATATGTTAATACGAAGCCACCAGTATTTTTGAACAACTGGGCATCATTAAATTCATTTTCATAACATTTTCATGTATATGTCCAGAGATTAACAGCAAAAACTACACATTGTCTATTTAAAAGAAGCAATGCCTTTTTATAACTAATGTATTCAAATAGTCTCCTAAATTTGAAAAGACGTCTTCATCCAAGGGTAGGCCATAACGGAGAGATTAAAAAAATTTTTTCTAGTACAAAGTTTTAGACTGTTTCTGCCAGGACCATTTTTAATGGGACGCAGTCTGAGCCTAATCGCTTTAGTGTATGATCATAAAAAGGATTTGTTGAGTTAGTGACAACTTTTTAAGCTTAAACCCTATAATTACCCAGTAGTGAGTTTGAGATATACACTGGACTAACCTCTCCTTCCTGCCAGATGCAAAATGGTCACGCCAATTAGCCGCCGTTATAGTGGATGTGTTCCTTTTCACCGGCCTTTAAGTGTCACGTTTTGGATGCGTCCTCGAAGTTAAGTTTCAAATACATTTTTTATGTGCTACGCTTTCAGAACATGTCAAACGCCGCAGTTCAGATCGGGCCAGACAGGAAGTCAAACATGAAAGCAGTGTAAAACATCTAGAAACTTTCAAAATAAAAATCACAAGCAGATTTCCGGTGGCTTCTAGTAAAAAAAAAACGTGCATCATTTACCGTGTAGCCGAGGTAAACAGAACAGAAAATAAACCAGATCTTGGTGGATATATGCACCCATCTTTCTGCTTGCTTGTCATCATGTAAAGTTGCAAAATCAGTGTTGCAACTCTCCTGTGATTTTGTCACCAGCTGTGTGGAACACGTTTGCTCTGTTTCGCATCTGAAACTCTCCCAGTTGGAAGGGAGCTCGCAGGTAAAACACCTCTATTATGTTACACACCGCTCACACTTTTGGTGAAAAGGAGCAGTAACATTAGCCGTAACGATACATTAGCATTACTCAAGGCAAGGCGACAAGGCAACTAGTTTTAGTTAGATCTATTGTTTTCCCTTGGAGTTATTTTAACATGGGTAAATAGAGTGGCCGCATTGTTAAGTAACTATTCCGGAACTGCGCTGCTCTGGGTGGCTGCTTGTTGGAGTAGCTCTGTTGACTATATGTAAGTTCTGCTTTTTTTGTACATTTTTTCTTCTAGTTTCTCAAGAGAAACTGTACTTTTTGGACATTTTACTTGTCTGTTTCTGGTGATGTGAAGATTAGAGGATTTTTACTGCTATTTTTCACTTTTTAAAATTTTTGAGCATTTGTTATAATGCGTAACCATGGCAACAAGCTGGTTTACAATCGGGAGCGGCGGATTAACGTTGGAAAGGCTGAAATAATACCTCAACTGAAGCCACAAGTCCCAAATGAGCTAAAACGCAAGAAGTGTGGGTGAAGAGCGGGAGCAAAATGGAGACAGAGAAAGAGGAAATTCAAACCATCTCTTCCATCGATCATAATGGGCAATGTGAGATCACTGGCCAACAAGATGGATGAACTCCAAGCTCTTTCAAGGACTCAGCCAGAGTATCGGCAGTGCAGTGTTATGTGTTTCACTGAGATGTGGCTGCAGGACCATATCCCTGATTCCGCATCTCTATGCCAGGACTCCTAACTGTACGAGCAGACAGAGATCTGAAGAGCAGCGGGAAAAGAAAAGGAGGTGGAGTGACAGTGCTTGTCAACAACAGATGGTGCCATCCAGGTCATGTTTCAGTGAAATGTCTCTGCAGCCCAGATGTTGAACTCTTGGCAGTAAGTTGTCGCCCATATTATTTACCAAGAGAGTTCAACAGTGTTGTCTTGGCAACCGTTTATATTCCACCTTCAGCCATTGCTGAAAGTGCATGTGATACCATCAGTTCCATTGTCGCTAAGCTACAAACCCAGCACCCCAATGCATTTGTGGCTATTTCTGGTGATTTTAATCATGCCTCGCTCTCTGCTACACTTCCAACATTTCAACGGTTTGTCAGCTGCTCCACCAGAGAAAACAAGACATTGGATTTGTGTTATGCAAATGTAAAGTATGCATACATGTCCAAAACAAGACCTCTTCTGGGACAATCAGATCTCAATCTTGTTTTACTCTGCTCAGAATACAAATCACTTGTTCAGAGGAAACCTGTGACAAGAAAAGCTGGGAGAAAATGGTCACAGGATGCTGAAGAAGCCCTGCAGGGTTGTTTTGAGACCACAGATTGGATGACTCTCTGCCAAGGATATGAAGAGGACATCAATGCCATGACTGGATGTGTCACAGACTATATAAACTTCGGTGTGGACAATATCATACCCACCAGAACAGTGAGATGCTTCGCTAGTAACAAACCCTGGATCACCAGTGAACTGAAGAATCTGCTAAATGAGGGGGGGGAAAGCCTTCAAGGAGGGAGACAGGAAATTATTGAGGAGTATACAGAAGCAACTGAAGATCAAGATCAGAGACAGCAAGGAGGTATACAGGAAGAAGCTGGAGAACAAACTACAGATGGACAATATCAGAGATGTCTGGTCAGGGATGAAGAAGATCACAGGCTTCAAGCAGAAGAAGGATTGCACAGATGGCAGCCTGGATACAGCCAATGAACTGAACAAGTTCTTCAATAGGTTTAGTTCAGGAACAAACCCAGCATCCTTCTCGCCTGTCCCCAGCCAATCAGACATCCCATCCTTCTCTGATCCAACATTTTCCTGTCACACACCAGCTCTTTTGTCCTCTAATACAGTCATGGGCTCTTCTGGTTCTATAAATCTGTCTTCAAGACAGGAGATGCAGCTGCCCCGTTTACCTCCCCCTCCCACCTATCTGTCTCTATAAGTCAGGTGAAGAGGCAGCTGGAGAGACTGAACAGGAACAAGGCTGCAGGTCCAGATGGTGTCAGCCCCAGAGTACTGAAGGCCTGTGCAGAGCAGCTCTGTGGGATTCTGCAACACCTCTTCAACCTCAGCCTGGCCCAGGAGAAGGTTCCAGTACTGTGGAAGACATCCTGCCTTGTTCCAGTTCCAAAGAAAACTCGCCCATCAGTCAATGACGACTACAGACCGGTTGCCCTGACATCCCACATCATGAAGGTCCTGGAGAGACTCCTGTTGGTCCACCTGAATAAGCAAACTAGAACAAATCAGGACCCACTGCAGTTTGCTTATCACTATGGAGTTGGAGTTGAAGATGCCATCATCCAGCTGCTTCAACCAACCCACTATCATCTGGACAAAGCAGGCAGCACTGTGAGGGTCATGTTCTTTGATTTCTCCAGTGCATTTAACACAATCCAGCCTGATGTACTTTGCCAGAAACTCCAGAAGACACAGGTGGGGGCCTCAACTATCGCCTGGATTAAAGACGACCTGACAAACAGACCACAGTTTGTGAGGCTGAAGAACTGCACATCAAACCAGGCGATCAGTAACATTGGAGCACCACAGGGGACTGTACTCTCACCATTCCTTTTCACCCTGTACACCTCAGACTTCCAGTACAAATCAGAGACCTGTCATCTGCAGAAATACTCAGATGACTCTGCAGTGGAGGTGGTTGAGGAATACAAATACCTTGGAGTTTGCTTGGACAACAGACTGGACTGGAGAAAGAACAGCCAAGCCGTTTACAAGAAGGGACACAGCAGACTTCACTTCTTGAGGACGCTTAGGTCCTTCAGTGTCTGTAGCAAGATGCTGCACATCTTCTACAAGTCTGTTGTTGAGAGTGTAATCTCTTCAGCCATCGTCTGTTGGGGTAGCAGCATCAGAAACAGGGACCTGAAAAGCTCAACAGCCTAATAAAAA